AAAATAGGCATAACATTGAATGCTGTTAGGCGAAATAGATTGATCTTTCTTTAATACTCTTTAATAATTTATATTATATCTTTAAATTGAAAACTTAACGTGTTTTACACCATAAGAGCTAGAAAAATAACGGAGTTAAACCGCTAAGACTAAAAGTTAGCAGCTTTTGTCTATCCTTTTTTCTTTATATTATGCCTGAAAAAGGGCTACTTTGATAGAGTAGAATATGAGGGTCAGCCCCCTCTAATATTATAAAGTAATATTTTTATATTTCTAAAGAATCAAAGTTCTTTGTGCTATTACACTAACTTATAGATAAGGTAAGCTAATTAAGCTATTGGGTTCATACCTCAATTATAAAGGTTACAACCCTTTCTTTATTAATGTTTATTCTACCACACCATATTTTATTCTTATTTATTCTGTTATTTAGAACAACCATAGTTGCATGTTCTAACTCCTGATTTTCAATGTGATTAGGGCTAGAGATAAATATATTATCTTTTGTAACTTTGTTAATACAGAGTTAATATACGTGAGACTGAATCTGGTATTAAATATTTTCTTTGTTCAAGTATTAGGTTCTATTGGGTTTTTATTTTGGGAGTCTAAGATTAGTTGTTCTGGTTTCTTCTTCTCTTTTAACGAGTTCTTATGAACCTACTTATTTTTTTTTCACTCTTATTAAAAATTGGTGTTGGACCTTTTCATTTTTGATTTCTGGGGTAATAGAAGGGATTTAATATAATTTAATTGTGGAATATTAATACATGACAAAGTTAGGACCTTTTTGTATTTTTGATTGATTTACAAACTCAATTTATAAAATCTGTTTAGTAGTTTTCGCAATAATCTCTGGGTTAGTCGGAGGACTAGGTGGTCTCAATCAACAAGCTTACGCAAACTTAGCCTATTCATCAATTGGGCACCTTGTTGATACTTGGAGCTATTTTTATTTCCAATACTATCTGAAAGACTTATTTTTTTTAACTTATAGTTTTTTAAGACTAAGATTTGATTTTTAATTTTATTTTTTCATGGGATTACTCATATTAATCAAGTATTTTCCTTTGGGTGAGAAAACAACTGATAGTTTAATAATTATAATAATATTTTTATCCCTGGGGGGTCTACCCCCATTTGGGGGTTTTTAATAAAATGAGTTGTTTTAATGGGTTTAGTTAAATGGGCTATTTCTTTTAAGAACCATTCTAATTTCAAAGAAGTTTACTGAATCTTTTTTATTACCTGCGTGTTTGCTATTCATTAGATTAATAGGAAGAGATGTACCTTTATGAGTATCAATAAACACAGAACTATATTTCCATTTGGGGTAGTATTGTCAGGTAATAGAATTATTATTCTGTTTTAGCTCTTCTTTATTTTAATATTAATATAAAATTTTAAGTTATAAAGACTATTAGCCTTCAAAGCTAAACGAGAGAAAGAAGTCTCAAATTTTAAGCTCTAGCAATAATGCATTTTTTAGAATTGCAGTCTAATGTATTTTTTTTACTATAAAGCTCTGATAGAAAGAGATTAATCTCTGTTGGAAGATCTACAGTCTTCTGCTTACTCTCAGCCATTCTACCGCGATGATTTTTTTTCAACTAATCATAAGGACATTGGACAATATATTTAATTTTTGGATTTTGATCTGCCATAGTTGGTTCAGGGTTAAGTTTAATTATTTCGAGCTGAACTCGGGGCAAGCAGGCTCCTTCTAGGAGACGATCACCTATATATGTGATTGTTTACTGCCACGCATTTGTAATAATTTTTTTTTATAGTATGCCTATTTTAATTGGGGGTTTTGGGTAACTGAATGCTTCCATTAATATTAGGAGCACCAGACATAGCCTTTCCACGATTAAACAATTTAAGTTTTCTGATTATTACCACCCCTCATTAACGCTTCTTTTAGCCTCTTCTTTAGTAGAAGCAGGTGTGCCGGGACTGGTTGGACTGTTTACCCCTCTAGCTAGAAATATTTGCTCACGCCGTGGCTCTGTAGATTTAGCAATTTTTTCTTTACATTTAGCAGGTGCTTCTTCCATTTTAGGGGCAGTAAATTTTATTACAACAGTGATTATATACGTACTGAGGGGGATAGTTTTGAGCGATCCCGCTTTTTTGTTTGAGCAGTCAAAATCACAGTTGTTTTACTTCTTCTTTTCACTCAGTCCTTGCTGGGCAATCACTATATTATTGACAGATCGAAATCTAAATACTTCTTTTTTTGATCCTGCAGGAGGAGGAGACCCTATTCTGTACCAACATCTTTTTTGATTTTTGGTCACCCTGAAGTATATATTCTTATTTTACCAGGCTTTGGAAATTGTCTCACATATTATCAATCATCAAAGAGGAAAAAAAGGAAGCATTTTGGTAACCTTGGTATAATTTATGCTATACTGGCTATTGGGGTTTTAGGATTTGTTGTATGGGCACACCATATATTCACAGTAGGTATAGACGTTGACACGCGTGCTACTTCACTGCTGCACAAATAATTATTGCTGTACCAAACAGGAATTAAAATTTTTAGCTGATTAGCAACCCTCCATGGAACACAAACTACAGTTTTGACCCCCCTTCTTGAGCTTTAGGATTTGTATTCTTATTTACAATGGGGGCTTACAGGGGTTGTCTAGCTAAACTCTTCGATTGATATTATGTTTACACGATACTTACTATGTAGTAGCTCACTTCATTATGTCCTCTCTATGGGGGCTGTTTTGCAATTATTGGAGGTCTTACTCTTTGATTACTCTAATTTTAGGTGTCTCTTTACATGCTCGATGATTAAAAATTCAATTCGTTATTATGTTTTTTAGGAGTCAATTTAACATTCTTTCCTCAACATTTTTTTAGGATTAAGAGGAATACCCCGTCGTTACTCTGACTACCCAGATGCTTTTTATTAAATGAAATGCTGTCTCATCAGTAGGGTCTATAATCTCTATTATGCTGTATTGATATTAATTTTTATTATTTGAGAAGCTCTAATCTCTCAACGTAGTCTAGTGTTTGGATGCCAAAAAAACACAACATCTGTTGAGTGACAACACGACTTCCCACCATCAGAACACACATATACAGAATTAGCAATTTAACTAATTAATCAGATTAAAAACCTGAATGGCCACATGAGGGCAACTTATATTTCAAGATAGCGCGTCTCCATTTAATGGAACAACTAATTTTTTTTTCATGATCACATTTTATTTGTATTTAATTTTAATTACAGTAGTAGTAGGCTATTTTATAATTGCGATTATAACTAATTCTTACATTAATCGATTTATACTAGAAGGGCAGGAAATTGAAACGATTTGGACCATTATTCCAGCAATTATTTTGATTTTCGTTGCGCTTCCATCCCTTCGTCTTCTTTATTTATTAGACGAGGTAAACTCTCCTTCCATTACTATTAAAACAATCGGTCATCAGTGATATTGAAGATATGAATATTCGGATTTTAACGAATTAGAATTTTGACTCTTTCATAATTCCATCAACTGACTTAGAAGAAGGTCAATTTCGACTATTAGATGTAGATAGCCGCCTTATTATTCCTATGGAAAATAAATTCGTGTATTTGGTAACTGCTGCAGACGTTTTACATTCATGGGCTATCCCTTCTATAGGAATTAAAAGTAGACGCAGTTCCTGGTCGACTAAACCAATTATCATTCTTTCTCATCCCGACCGGTGTATTTTACGGTCAAATGTTCAGAAATTTGTGGTGCGAATCATAGCTTTATACCTATTGTATTAGAAGTAGTTGATACCCCTTCGTTATCAAATGAGTTTCTGCTAAACTAGTCACTAAGTGGCTGAGAATAAGCACTGGTCTCTTAAACCAACTTACGGTAAATTACCCTTAGTGAAGAAAATTTAGTTTAAATAAAAACATAGACCTGTCTAGTCTAAATTGTCTATAGACATTTTTCTTCATTCCTCAAATATCACCATTAATATGAAGTTTACTATACCGTATAGTGTAATAGTTATGCTAATGTTTTCCGTCACAACCTATTTTAAATTTATTTTAATCACTAAATCATCTGATTTTTTTAACACACAAAAACTAAATTTTTTTTTACAATGATAAGTGGTTTGTTTTCTATTTTTGATCCATCAACAGGTTTTGGGTTATCTTTAAATTGAATTGCTTTACTCATTGGTTTATGCTTTTTACCACTATCCTTCTGAGTGTTACCTACACGTTGAATAGTAAGCTGAAGTATAATTAACAAAACGGTTTTAAAAGAATAAGATCTCTCTTTAGCTCTTCTTCCCCATCAGGAATAAGTGTTTTGGTACTAGGCCTATTTTTGATTTTATTATTTTTAGAAATTTCTTAGGGTTGTTTCCCTATGTTTTTACTAGTACCGCTCATATTTTAGTAACTCTGAGCCTTGCTTTTCCAATATGAAATAGGTTTTATATTATTCGGTGACTTTACACGCCCCATTGATATATTAGCTCATTTAGTCCCAGAGGAACTCCCACAATTTTAATAATATTTATAGTTTGCATTGAAACAATTAGAAACCTAATCGCCCAATCACACTCTCTGTCCGACTAGCAGCAAATATAATTGCCGGACACTTCTTTTGACGCTTTTAGGAAGCAAGGAGTGAGAGCTAGTATAGTTATTTTAACTCTTATTCTAGTGACTCAGTTCTTCCTACTTCTTTTAGAAGCTGCAGTAGCAGTTATCCAATCCCTATGTTTTTGTAGTTAACAACTTTTATACTCAGCAGAAGTTTATTAAATGACTGGACACTTTCATCCTTACCACTTAGTAGACCAAAGTCCTTTGACCACTAACGCAGCTATTGGGGCATTTGGGTTAACAGCCGGGTTAGTCAAGATTTCATAACAGCAACTTTAATTTGTGTTTTATTGGGTTTATTTATTATTATTTTAAACTATATTTCAATGATGACGAGATGTGAGACGAGAAGGCACACTTCAGGGACTTCACACAATGCAGTAGAATTTGGGCTTCGATGAGGATAATTCTATTTATTTTATCAGAAGTTTATTTTTTTTTTCTTTCTTCTGGGCTTTTTTTCACAGAAGTTTATCTCCAACAATCGAATTAGGGTCTTGCTGACCCCCAGTCGGTGTTGATGCATTTAACCCATTTCAAGTACCTTTATTAAACACAGCTGTTTTATTAGCTTCAGGAGTAACTGTTACCTGAGCACACCACAGATTGATCGAAAGTACTTCAATGAAACATCATATGCGCTCTGCTCACAGTTATATTAGGAATCTATTTTACTATTCTTCAAGTATTGAATATTATCAAGCACCATTTTCATCGCCGACTCTGTTTATGGCTCTACATTTTTTGTAGCTACCGGATTCCACGGGCTTCATGTATCATCGGAACGACATTCTCTTAATTTGTCTTTTCCGCCACACACTTATCACTTTTCATCTAACCATCATTTTGGGTTTGAAGCAGCCGCTTGATACTGACACTTTGTTGATGTTGTATGACTCTTTCTTTCGTGAGAATCTATTGATGAGGATCTTGTCTTTTTAGTATATATAAGTATCATTGACTTCCAATCAATAGGTTTTAAATAAAATTAAAAAAGATAATGACAATATTCTTTATTTATCTCTTGTTTGTTTTATTTGTTGCTATTGCAGTAGCTGGGACAGCTATTCTTGTCTCATTTAAAAGTAACAAAGATTTTGACAAATTATCACCCATTTGAGTGTGGGTTTTGATCCCTTAAAATCGGCCCGTACCCATTTTCTTTACGATTTTTTCTAGTAGCAATAGTATTTTTAATCTTTGATGTAGAAATCACATTAATTTTACCTATCCACTAGCCCTAAAAACTAGTGAACACAACACAATAGTAATAATAATGGGCATTACATTTATAATCATCTTTACTTGTAGGGCTTTTTCACGAATGAAGCCAAGGAGCATTAGAATGAGCAGAATGGTTTAGTATTTAAACTATAAAATATGATTTGCACTCATAAATTGGGCACTCTGCCCTAAACCAGGCCTATAATTTTTTTTTTCTTTTTTTTTTTTTTGTTTTTTTAGCAGTAGAGCAACTGCCGTTTCGACCCAGAAGAGAAATGGAAACATTATAGGTTGGGTAGATAAGAGCTTGAATAAGCAGTGATTGTTAATCAAAGAGTGGGAAGCTTAAGTCCCTTTATCTAAAAATGGTTTGTGTAGACTAAATTTCATTTTAAATGACAATACTTATATATACATATATATATATATTTGCATTTGTCTGGGTATCTACAATGAGTTTACATACGTGTGTTATTTTTATAAAAAGTTATAAATCTTTATAAAAACTAAGGTATAGTGTTAAATTTATATGCTTTATAAAATAATACTATAATAACGTTAAAGTTATAAAATCTTTATAATATAAAACTATTAAATAAAACTATCATACGTTATAAATTTATAATCTTTATAAAAACTGTAGACGTATAGGTCGTTAAAATTATATGCTTTTTAGTAAAAATAATACTATAATACGTTAAGAATTATAAAAATCTTTAATAATAATAAAACTATTTAAATTCAAACATATAATATAACCCCTGTTAAAGTTATAAAATCTTTATAAAAACTAAGGTAATAGGTGTTAAATTTAATATGGCTTTTGATAAAAATTAATACTCATGATAACGCTTAAAGTATAAAAATCTTTATAAAAACTAAGGTATAGGTGTTAAATTTATATGCTTTTATAAAAATAATACTATAATAACGTTAAAGTTATAAAATCTTTATAATAATAAAACTATTAAATTAAACTATAATAACGTTAAAGTTATAAAATCTTTATAAAAAACTTAAGGTTATAGCGTGTTAGAATTTATATGCCTTTTTATAAAAAATAGTTACCATAATACGGTTTAAAGTTATAAAATCTTTATAATAATAAAATTATTAAATTAAACTATAATAACGTTAAAGTTATAAAATCTTTATAAAAACTAAGGTATAGGTGTTAAATTTATATGCTTTTATAAAAATAATACTATAATAACGTTAAAGTTATAAAATCTTTATAAAAACTAAGGTATAGGTGTTAAATTTATATGCTTTTATAAAATAATACTATAAATATGTAAATTTTCCGTGAACATATGAGTATTATCACTTAAAATGTAATTTTAATCTACAAAAAACAACTTATGACCCCCGGAAACAAAACCAAAAGATAAAAGGGATAAAGGCGACAAAAAACCATGGGCCCAGCAGCTTTTCTTTTTTAAATTAGAAAAGCTGCTAGCATAATTATTTAAGTAAATAAATACCATTATTTTTATATAACACATATAATTTCATATATATATAATACATATATATATATATATATATATATATATATTAGTTACTTTATATCATATATATATCCACTATCATACTCATTCACTCTCTATACTATAATATATTTTATCTGTTGCCTTATTTCTATTACTATATATTATATATAATATATATAGTAACTATATACTAATATTCCATATTTATATATAATATATATATATATATAGCTATATCATATACTACTATATCAGCCTATTATATATATTATATGTTACTATATACTACTATTACGTATTTTATAATATATACTATATACCCTACTATATATCTACTATACTATATCTCATTATCCATACTATCCTGCTCTCTAGCTACCCCCCTCACCTACTCATCTACTCCATAACCCCAACTTTTACTCACTTACCTACTCACCTCCATACATTACTATCCCTATATCTACATACTCTATACTTCACCTTCCTACTACACTTCATACCTACCCTCGACTACCTACCCTCACCCTCATCCTATACCATACTACTACTACTTCACCCTCTCCCCCTCTCCCGCCTCCAGCCCCCCATACTGCCTCCTCCCACTCATATACTATCCCCATCTATACCTATTTATACTACCTCATCACCTCACTTACACCTATACTCCCCATCTACCTTATCAATACTCATATTATATTATATATATACTATATTATAATATGAGTATATTTATATATATCACATATATTATATCACTCTCATAATATTTATATATATATATATATATATATATATATACTATATACTCTACTATATATGATTATATATCATATATATATATATATTATTATATATATATATTATACCTATATATATATATATATATATACAGATATGATTATATATATATAGATATACTACTATATATATATATATATTATTATTACTATATATATATATTATACTATATATATATATATGTATTATATATATATGAAATTATATGTGTTATATAAAAATAATGTATGTTTACTTTATCCTTACAACCTCATCTATCCGCCCCTAGCAGCTTTGCCTCAATTTCACCAAAAACCGAAAGTGCTGGGCCCCCATGGGTTTTCTGGTATCGCCTCTTATTCCTTTTATCTTCTTGGTTCTTGTTTCCGGGGTCCAAGTTGTTTTTTGCTAGATCTAAAAGTTACCATTGTTTAAGTGATAATACTCATATGTTCACGGAAAATTTACATATTTATGTATTATTTTTATAAAAGTTATAAAATCTTTATAAAAAACTAAGGTATAGGTGTTAAATTTATATGCTTTTATAAAAATAATACTATAATAACGTTAAAGTTATAAAATCTTTATAATAATAAAACTATTAAATTAAACTATAATAACGTTAAAGTTATAAAATCTTTATAAAAACTAAGGTATAGTGTTAAATTTATATGCTTTTATAAAAATAATACTATAATAAACGTAACA